ACAGAAAAGCAAACAAGCAAGAAAATAAACACGGAAGGCACAAAGAGCACAGACGCTGGAAGGCAAACATGGAAGACAGACAGAAAGACAAACATACAATATAAACGTAGAGAACATACAACTGAAAAGAAACAACAAAAGACAGATGATTGACAACAAATGAGGAAGGTAGACATAAAAGAAAAACAAGTAGGAAGAAGAAGACAAACATTAAAACAAGTATGTAGTTAGAAAGGAAGACAGACGCGGAAGATAGACAAAAACAGACAGGACGAAAAACAGGAACATAGACATGGAACATAGACGAAGAAAACAGGCATCTGAAAGATAACAAAAGACAGACGATTTACAAGAAATAAGGAAGGCAGACACAGAAGACAGACGGGAACATAGACAGAAAAACAGAGATAAAGACAGATAGGACAACGGGCAAGAAGCTAGAAGTAAAGACAGATGTGGAAAACAGAGAACAAGATTAACAGAGATTGCAAACGTAAAGAAAGACATCTGAGTAGAGACAACTAACGACAGACGATTGAGTACAACTGAGAAAGACAGATACGAAATACGGACGACGAAAAACGATTGACAACAAATAAAGGAGATAGATACAGAAGACAGGACAATAGAAAGAAAAACAGAAATAAAGACAGACAGGACAACGGACAAGAAGCTAGAAATAAAGACAGACGCGGAAAACAGAGAACAAGATTGACACAGATTACAAACGTAAAGAAAGACAGCTGAAGAGAGACAACTAAAGACAAACGATTGAGTACAACTGAGAAAGACAGATACGAAATACAGACGACGAAAGACGATTGATAACACATAAAGGAGATTGATATAAAAGACGGGAAAATAGAAAGAAAAACAGAAATAAAGACATACGCGGAAAACAGAGAACAAGATTGACACAAATTACAAACGTAAAGAAAGACAGCTTAAGAGAGACAACTAAAGACAGACGATTGACTACAACTGAGAAAGACAGATACGAAATACAGACGACAAAAGACGCTTGATAACAAATACCGGAGACAGATATATAAAAGACGGGAAAATAGAAAGAAAAACAGAAATAAAGACAGACAGGACAAAGGGTAAGAAGCTAGAAACAAAGACAAACGCGGAAACAGAGACAAGATTGACACAGAATACAAACGTAAAGAAAGACAGCTGAAGACAGACAACTAAAGACAGACGATTGACTGCAACTGAGAAAGACAGATACGAAATACGAACGATGAAAGACGATTGACAACAAATACAGGAGATTGATATAAAAGACGGGAAAATAGAAAGAAAAACAGAAATAAAGACAGACGCGGAAAACAAAGAACAAGATTGACACAGATTACAAACGTAAAGAAAGACAGCCGAAGAGAAACAACTAAAGACAGACGATTGAATACTACTGAGAAAGACAGATACGAAATACGAACAACGAAAGACGATTGACAACAAATAAAGAAGATAGATATAAAAGAGGGGAAAATAGAAAGAAAAACAGAAATAAAGACAGACAGGACAACGAGCAAAAAGCTAGAAATAAATGCATACGCGGAAAACAGAGAACAAGATTGACACAGATTACAAACGTAAAGAAAGACAGCTGAAGAGAGACAACTAAAGACAGACGATTGACTACAACTGAGAAAGACAGATACGAATTACGGAAGACGAAACACGATTGACAACAAATAAAGGAGATAGATAGAGAAGACGGGAAAATAGAAAGGAAAATAGAAAGAAAAACAGAAATAAAGACAGACAGGACAACGGGCAAGAAACTAGAAATAAAGACAGACGCGGAAAACAGAGAACAAGATTGACACAGATTACAAACGTAAAGAGAGACAGCTGAAGAGAGAAAAACAAAGACAGACGATTGAGTATAAATGAGGAAGACAGATACGAAAGACGAACGACGAAAGACGATTGACAACAAATAAAGGAGATAGATATAAAAGACGGGAAAATAGAAAGAAAAACAGAATTAAAAACCGACAGAACAACGGGCAAAAAACTAGAAATAAAGTTAGACGCGAAAAACAGGGAACAAAATTGACGCAGATTACAAACGTAAAGAAAGACAGTTGAAGAAAAACCACTAAAGACAGACGATTGACTACAAATGAGAAAAACAGATTCGACATACGGACGACAAAAGACGATCGACAACAAATAAAGGAGATAGATATAGAAGACGGGAAAATAGAAAGAAAAATAGACACAAAGACAGACAGGAGAACGAGCAAGAAGCTAGAAATAAAGACAGACACGGAAAACAGAGAACAAGATTGACACAGATTATAAACGTAAAGAAAGACAGCTGAAGAGAGACAACTAAAAACACACGATTGACTACAACTAATAAAGACAGATACGAAATACGGACGACGAAAGACAATTGACAACAAATAAGGAAGCTAGACAGAAAAGGGAGACGGGATCATAGAAAGAGAAACGGAAAGAAAGACAGACAGGAAAACGGGCCAAAAAGGTAGAAAGAAACTGAGACAGTAAGACAGACGCATAAGATAGACAGGAATACAGGCAAGAAAACAAATACAAAAGACAGATGAGGAAGATAAATCTGAAAGATAGACGGAAAGATAGGCAGGAAGCCATACAGAAAGTCAGGCACGGAATACAGAAGCAGAAAGCAGACGATAGAAAATAGGAAACGAAATACACACGATTGACAACAAATTAGGAAAAGAAACATAGAAGATAGATGGTAACAGACAGAAAAACAGCAGGAAAACGGGCAAGAAAACAAACTCTGAAGGCAGAAAAGGGTCACAGATGACGGAAGACAACTATGGAAGACAGGTGGGAAGACAGACAAAAACAGACGAGGGAGAATAGACAACTGACAACAAATAAGGAAGGTAGACAGAAAAGGCAGACGGGAACATAGATAGAGAAACGGAAAGAAAAACAGAAGGAAAACGGGCAAAAAGGTACAAAGAAACTGAGACAGTAGGACAGACGCATAAGATAGACAGGAATACAGGCAAGAAAACGAATACAAAAGACGTGACAAGGAACACAGACGAGGGAAGATAAACATGAAAGATAGATGGAAAGATAGATGGAAAGATAGGCAGGAAGCCAGACAGAAAGACAGGAGCGGAATACAGGAGCAGAAAGCAGACGATAGAAAATAGGAAACAAAATACACACGATTGACAACAAATAAGAAAAAGAAACATAGAAGATAGACGGTAACAGACAGAAAAACAGCAGGCAAACGGGCAAGAAAACAAACTCTGAAGGCAGAAAAGGGTCGCAGATGACGGAAGACAACTATGGAAGATAGGTGGGAAGACATAGACAAAAACAGACAAGGGAGAATAGACAACTGACAAGAAATAAGGAAGCTAGACAGAAAAGGCAGACGGGAACATAGATAGAGAAACGGAAAAAAGACAGACAGGAAAACTGGCAAAAAGGTAGAAAGAAACTGAGACAGTAGGACAGACGCATAAGATAGACAGGAATGGAGGCAAGAAAACGAATACAAAAGACAGACAAGGAACACAGACGAGGAAGATAAACATGAAAGATAGATGGAAAGATAGGCAGGAAGCCAGACAGAAAGACAGGAGCGGAATACAGAAGCAGAAAGCAGACGATAGAAAATAGGAAACGAAATACACACAATTGACAACAAATAAGGAAAAGAAACATAAAAGATAGACGGTAACATAGACAGAAAAACAGCAAAAAAACGGACAAGAAATCAAACTCTGAAGGCAAAAAAGGGTCACAGATGACGGAAGGCAACTATGGAAGACAGGTGGGAAGACAGACAAAAACAGACGAGGGAGAATAGACAACTGACAACAAATAAGGAAGCTAGACAGAAAAGGCACGCGGGAACATAGATAGAGAAACGTAAAGAAAGACAGACAGAAAAACGGGCCAAAATGGTAGAAAGTAACTTAGACAGTAGGACAGACGTAGAAGGCAGACGATAGAAAATAGAAAACGAAATACACATGATTGACAACAAATAAAGAAGATAATTATACAAGATAGACGGTAACATAGACAGAAAAACAGCAAGGAAAACATGCTGAAAACCGGCAAGAAACAAATACTGAAGGCAGACAAAGATCACAAATGATGGAAGACAAACATGGAAAACAGATCGGGTTCAGAAATACAAGCAAAAAGACAGACAGAAAGACAAACAGGAAGACAAACAAGGAAACAGAAGACAGATGGCAAAACAGACACAAAGGCAGAGAAAAAGACAGACAGAGAGACTAACCTGACCTGACCTGACTTGAGACAGACCGACAGACAGACAAAAAGACAGATGGAGAGAAAGGCGGACAAGCAGACAAGTAGATAGCAGACACACAACACGGGTAAAGAAAACAGACAAGAAAGCAGACAGCAAGACAGATAGAAAGACAGACACGAAGGAGAGATACGGAAGACGGTCAAGAGCGACACACAGAGAGAGATCTATCGTACACTTGGAAAATAAAAAACCATCACTAATATCATAGATTTGAGTGTTTGAAAATTATTTCTAAAATATGCATGTATTTATCTACGTTAAAATAAGTCGGTGTGAATATTTTCTCTATTCTCATACTCCATAGTACGAGTAATACATAGCCAAATAATCGCTAGAAATCAATATTTTTTTAAACGTAACCTCCATTAAATAATAATAATCATATGTGAAAACTCGTGAAATTCTCGCTCACAACAAAAAATCCCCCACCTCCCTCCTCCTCCCGTCGGCAACAACACGCGCTCGTTCTTATCACCTCCGAACCTCCTCACCTCCACCCCTCCATTCACCCCCAATCCGCTTCCTCCTCTCCTTATCATTTATTCAGTACACCGGCTCCGCGCCGGCACTCACATAAAAATTTAATAAGTGATGGACACGAAACCGCGCCATTATTGCCCCATCGATCCGTCCAACAAACAACCCATCACTCCATAAATATTCCCATCGCAATCTCGCTCCTACCTCCATTCCCTCCAAGATTCCTCTCGACCCCAAAGCGCAAAGCTCCGCCATCGGGTCCTGCAAAGAGCTTTCGCCCTTCGTCCCCGCTCGTTTTCGGCCGTGTTCTGCCGAATGACAGGTGGTTCGCAAGTCCTGCTGAAGCCGTCCGAGCCTGAATCAGTGCCAGAATTCACCTGACGCAGTTTGGGTGCTCTTGGCTAATCGATAAGACGTGTTCGACGATACATATGTGTCAGGGGCTCTGATGGAGAGAATCGGGCAGTTTTGATTTTTATGCGCTATTGCAGGAAGTCGAAGGGGCTTTCCTGCTGCAGACACGGTCTGGGTTTTGGGTTGTTATCGAGGTCTGGGGCTTGCGTTTCGAACACGTGCGTTTCAAAATTTTGATTTTTTTTTGGAAAATTGTAAAGAGGGTGTGCGGAGGAGGGGTGGAGGTAAAGTTGTAAAGGGGGAGTTTTTGATTTTTGAAAACCGGAAATGGATTTCGATAAGTCGCTCTGTGGATAGGTAAGTCACAAGTTTTGACTTTTTTTTAATTAAAGATAATTAATTCTTTATAAAAAATAAAAATAAAAATTATTTAGTCACTGAATTTGAGCGGTATTTCAATGTGAGTTTTATTTTAATGACGTCATCGATTTCATAAAGAGGAATAATAGTTTATTAAATTATAGACGTCTGTAAAATCGTCAAAATTGTGAAATTAAGGTATAAATTTGACAATAAATCATTCAACAAAATCCACAGCTGTAAATAACAGATGCTGGAATTTAAGTCCTTGTCAGTTCCTTTAAAGCATGAAATAGAGGGATAAAAGGAAGGTTTTAGAAAGCATTATGACATAATCGAGTTTTGTCCACTGATTTTCGTAATTTTCCTGAAATGAATCCCATTAAAGAAAATGGTAGTGAATATTTTATTCGTGTTAAGATTAGTGACCAGTAATGTACGCCATTTCCGCATTAGTAGCTACAACAAAATGTCTAAAAACTGTCCATTAAACAAGCCGAACTTTCCTCATTTTAGGTTTCTCGTTATAACTCACAATTACTTCCAGTGAAAAAAATTCACTATCAACACGAAAACCATTTTTGCGCTATACATAAATCTCACCTCTCTCCTCCCGCTCTCTTTCAGCCCCCATCTCCATCAACACATCAATGACTTAACCCCAAACCACCCCCAATGAATAAATTACCAAACTCGGACTGTAATGGACCAATCCAAATGAGTGAAGTGTCTGTGATAGACAACAAACCCTGGAAATGCTCGGAAGCCAACAACGGCTACTTAAAGCAAAAAAGCGGCCCTGAGGAGTCGCTTCTCGGCTCGACGGCCGTAACGACCGTCGTCCAGGTCTCCGGAAGCGGAACCAAAACGATGGTACTTCCCCGGAGCAAACAAGCTAAAGAGAAATGCCTTGTAGCTGCAGTCTTCGCACTGATCATATTTTCTCTAGTGTTATTGTTTATTGTGGTGAGCACCAGGAATCATCAGTGCGTAGGTAAGACACGATCTGACGTGCTAAATCGCGATCTCGACCAGACAATTATTTGTGGTCGGCTAAATATAATTTTGCAGCGAAGAAGTAGGGCTAGGTTTTAATTGGGTTGGAGGAGGTCGCGCTGAAGCTGATTTCACGACATAAGGCTCCCTAGTGTCACACTGAAATAAAATCATAATTTTTTAATACATTTTAGAGTAGTCGATCAAATTTTGTAGGTCACGTGTAAACTATGCATTATTATCTGCCTCGTGGCATTTACGTAACTCAGTTAACGCTTTTTATTACCCCTGATTGCGTGTAATACACCGGTAACAGAAATAAAGCCGATAGAGCAATACGAGACCAGGACTTGCGTTAAGCACTCTAACTAAAATAAACTGAAATATCTGTATTTCAATCCCACTATTTCTAGTAATTTTGACATTATAAGAACAATTTAATTTTGAAACGGCGATAGTAACAATGCACCAGCGTCTGCGTGAAGCACTTTATTCCACACGTGCATCTAGGGAATACAACTTTTATCGCATTTAAATCTTTTTCGGATCGCTCGAGCGTTCATGGCAAAATGTTTTCAAAGCACAAAATATGAAAGTTGTTTATACTTCCAACCAGAACTCCCAAAGCATATCAGAACTCGGAAACGTATAGTAAAGTCTATAAGTCTGAGATTTATGAAGTGTACTGTGAAAAGAAATGTAGCACCGAAACGAGAATTAAACCCAAGGGGCTCAAAGAACACATTATGGCCCATCTTAAATTTACTAGATTTATAACGCCGAATGTTAACCAAAGTCTATAAATATTAAAAAGTAAGAATAGAGTGTATAACGCAGAAGCTAGACAAGCATAAATATCTTAATTATAAAACGTTTTCGGGTACAGAATGTTCTTTGTTCGATTTTATTACAAATTTGTGCTTTCGCCTCGAGTGCTCTGAATAATTGGCTGGAAATTTCTTTGAGAGGTAGTTCCCCCGCATGTTAGCACCACTAGTGCACACAATGTAATGGAAGTCGCTTTCAGCGTAATTCAGTTACTAGAGTACACGCGTTTGCATAATGGCGATCGATTATTCAACAAGCCTCGATCTCTGTTCTAACATATTAGCTTCACATCTTTCTGACCACAAATTCAAATATTTACCGACACCGTGCTTTCAAGAGCACTCAGCAAAAATTGCCGATTGATTTTTAATTGAGATCTATCAGCCACTGCCGCTCTTCTGTTTGTTCAGCCGCCATGTTATCCGCCATGTTTGTTTATTTATTCGGCGCGGCACTTTTGTAATCGATCCCGTTGATCGTTTGAAATTCCGTCATAACAACAAAAAGAAGAACCGTGTCAGGTCTCCAGTGAGAGATACTTTCCGTCTTGTACGTTTTATTATTCCCCAGAAAAGCATCGAGGAGTTTCTCTACAACTATAAAAGCTCTTCGTACACTACATAAAATTGTCGGTTACACGTACGTGTAATATTTTAACGGTATTTCGACATTGTGTCCATATAGAGCGTGTTTTGCAACTGCTGCAGGGGGATTTTTTAATAATGTCGTGGCCCCAATTATGGACTCCGGCTGTGATTAATTGCTGGGTTTTTTTGGTTATGGATTGGTTATGTTGCAGATAGCAGAAGTAGTGTCTGTCTGACGGAGGAATGCGTAAGAACAGGTAAGACTTGATTTCAGATACGGACTGTCGGTAGAGAGATGTATTCAATAATTCAAACACAAAACGCAACGAAACTGAGAATTTCGCGCAGCTTTCAAGGAAATTTAAAAGTCATACATTATATAAGAAGAAGGTTTGCAAGGCATGAGCATTTTTTTTTTAATTAACTGTGCAAACACACGATCTTAGACGAGTTATCAATTAATTAGTTCTACACCAATCAAGGCCAACTCAGAACCAAATTGTTTTTATGCGTTATATTTAAAACGCAGAAAAAGCTACATGTTATGAACGTAAATAAATTATAATGTGTTTTGCGAAAGTTGGAAATTTAATGTTTGCTTTGTTATTTGTTGGGCTTTGCAATCAATTGGTTGAAAAACTGGGAACAAATACCAAGTTCAAGGCCGTACAAATCCGAACGTGGCATTTTCCTCATACATCTATAATATATAATAACCGCCACTCAGTAAACATCGCAAGATTTTTCGACCTTTTTCCTGATCAATTTGCTTTTAAAGTTTAATAAAGCCACAACTCAGAACTTACGAGACCGGAATAATAAAAAAAATCATTCATAGGTGTGCCGTTCACAATTGCTTATCTAGATTGAAAAAAACAATCACGAACACCAGATTTTTTAGTTAATGTTTGGTGTGTCAAAACTATTCGATTACTTCACTGATTCTATACAAGAAATTCAATTCGACGCAGGTAGTTTTAGAAACCTTTCGTTTTCATCGATTTTCAATATAAATACAAAATTTAAAATAATCAAGAATTTCCTGTTAAAATTTATTTATTTCATGTCTTCTGATAATCCAAATTCTAACTCTTCTGTCCCTTAGATTCCTAATTCCCTATCTAGACTATCCCATTTTTATTCACACATCGCCAAAAATTTCGACAAATATTTCTTCTTTCATAAATTTCTTTTTGACATTTAAAACTGTACCTACATTCCAAATTAACATTCATTTTGCCAATTTTTGTTCACCAATTTCGTTACTTTATTAATTCTATAGAATAAATTTAATTCGACGTAATTTTTTTCAAATTTTCCGTTTTCATTGCTTTCCAGTATCCAAATTTGAAAAAAATCACATTTCTTGTACTACAAAAATTTAGAACTTTCTTTTGAACTTCGTAAATTGTTTGTGAACCTTCTTAGACTTCAATCCCCATTGTACTTGTGTTGTTTTCTTCTCTTTTGCCGGGTAAAATTCTTATACAACTTCTTACTTTGTTTATCTACTGATATCACGTCTTCTGATAATCTAGATTCATAGAAATTTTTTAATGTGGATTGTTTTACAAAATATCTTCATCAATTTACAGTCTACAATCATTTAAAATTATCACAATTCTTCTACAACAAGATTTTAGCACTTTCTTGGACTCGATAGCCTTTCTAAAGTCTTCCTTTTTTTTTCTTTCTTTTTTTCCTGTTAAAATTTATACAAGACCCTTTCCTTTGTCGATATTTTAATTTCGTGTCTTCTGATAATCCAGATTCTAACACTTCTGTCCTTGTGAATTCATAATTCCCCATCTAAACTGACCCATTTTTACTCAAGTCATTTACTAGCCCCGCCCACCCAGCCTTTATTTTTTTAGAAGAATAAGTCATCTGCCAAAATCAATCTTATCTTGGTAAGTACTGGCCCCGCCCACCCCCCCTTATTTTCTTAGAGGATATGTCATTTGTCAAAATCAGTCTCATCTTGACAAGTACTAGCTCCGCCCATCCACCCTTATTTTCTTAAAGGATATGTCATTTGCCAAAATCAGTCTCATCTTGACAAGTATTAGCTCCGCCCACCCACCCTTTATTTTCTTAGAAGAGTGGCTCATTTGCCAAAATCAGTCTTATCTTGGCAAGTACTGGCCCCGCCCACCCCCCTTATTTTCTTAGAGGATATGTCATTTGCAAAAATCAGTCCCATTCTTGCCAAGATAAGATTGATTTTGGCAGAAGGCCTATTCTTCTAAGAAAATAAAGGGTGGGTGGGCGGGGCTAGTACTTGTCAAGGTACTATTTTCTTAGAAGAGTAGGCCATTTGTCAAAATGAATCTTATTTTGGCAAATAGTAGCCCGGCCCACCCAGCCTTTATTTTCTTAGAAGAATAAGTCATCTCCCAAAATCAATCTTATCTTGGCAAGTACTAACCCCGCCCACCCCCCCTTATTTTCGCAAAGGATATGTCATTTGCCAAAATCAGTCTCATCTTGACAAGTATTAGCCCCACCCACCCACACTTTATTTTCTTAGAAGAGAGGGTCATCTGCCAAAATCAGTCTTATCTTGGCAAGTACTGGCCCCACCCACCACCCTTATTTTCTTAGAGGATGTCATTTGCCAAAATCAGTCTCATCTTGACAAGAATTAGCCCGGCCCACCCAGCCTTTATTTTCTTAGAAGAATAAGTCATCTGCCAAAATCAATCTTATCTTGGCTAGTACTAGCCCCGCCCACCCACCCTTATTTTCTTAGAGTATATGTCATTTGCAAAAATCAGTCCCATTTTTGTCAAGATAAGATTGATTTTGGCAGACCACCTATTCTTCTAAGAAAATAAAGGGTGGTTGGGCGGGGCTAGTACTTGTCAAGGTACTATTTTCTTAGAAGAGTAGGTCATTTGCCAAAATGAATCTTATTTTGGCTAATACTAGCCCGACCCACCCAGCCTTTATTTTCTTAGAAGAATAAGTCATCTGCCAAAATCAATCTCATCTTGACAAGTATTAGCCCCGCCCGCCCACCCTTTATTTTCTTAGAAGAGAGGGTCATCTGCCAAAATCAGTTTTATCTTGGCAAGTACTGGCCCCGCCCACACCCCTTATTTGCTTAGAGGATATGTCATTTGCCAAGATCAGTCTCATCTTGACAAGCATTATCCCCGCCCACCCTCCCTTTATTTTCTTAGAAGAATAAGTCATCTGCCAAAATCAGTCTTATCTTGGTGAGTACTGGACCCGCCCACCCCCATTATTTTCTAAGAGGATATGTCATTTGCCAAAATCAGTCTCATCTTGACAAGTATTATCCCCGCCCACCCACCCTTTATTTTCTTAGAAGAGTTGTTCATCTGCCAAACTCAGTGTTATCTTGGCAAGTACTAGCCCCGCCCACCCACCCTTATTTTCTTAGAGTATATGTCATTGGCAAAAATCAGTCACATTCTTGCCAAGATAAGATTGATTTTGGCAGATGACCTATTCTTCTAAGAAAATAAAGGGTGGGTGGGCGGGGCTAGTACTTGTCAAGGTACTATTTTCTTAGAAGAGTAGGTCATTTGCCAAAATGAATTTTATTTTGGCAAATACTAATCCGGCCCACACAGCCTGTATTTTCTTAGAAGAATAAGTGATCTGCCAAAATCAATCTTATCTTGGCAAGTACTAGCCCCGCCCACCCCCCTTATTTTCGTAAAGGATATGTCATTTGCCAAAATCAGTCTCATCTTGACAAGTATTAGCCCCGCCCACCCACCCTTTATTTTCTTAGAAGAGAGGGTCATCTGCCAAAATCAGTCTTATCTTGGCAAGTACTGGCCCCGCCCACCACCTTTATTTTCTTAGAGGATGTCATTTGCCAAAATCAGTCTTATTTTACCAAGTACTAGCCCTGCCCACACGCCCTCTATTTTCTCAGAGGATATGTCATTTGCAAAAATCAGTCCCATTCTTGCCACAAGATAAGATTGATTTTGGCAGATGACCTATTCTTTTAAGAAAATAAAGGGTGGGTGGGCGGGGCTAGTACTTATCAGGGTACTATTTTCTTAGAAGAGTAGGCCATTTGCCAAAATGAATCTTATTTTGGCAAGTACTAGCTCCACCCTCCCGCCCTTTGTTTTCTTAGAGAGTAGATCATTTACAAAAATCCGTCTTATCGTAGCGAATACTACTAGATTCTTCAATTTTTCGATTTCTCGCTTTTTAAATTTTCAATTTTTTGATGTCTTTCGATTTTTGATCTCTCTGGGCAACTGAAAAAAGTTCGATTTTTTTAATTTTACAATTTTGGCAGTTTTCCGATTTCTCCAGTTTTCGATTTTTATTTTGTCGATTTTTGTTTTTTCAACTTTCGAATTTTTCAATTTTTCAATTTCTCAATTTTAAAATGTTAAATTTTTCGATTTTTCAATGTTAAATTTTTTGATTTCACAAAATATCATTGGCTTATTTAATTTACTGTGAGATGAGGATTTTATTTTAGCCAGTTGGAAAAGTCTAAGATTAAAGAAAGACTTCAAAATTGCCCCACCCACCCACCCCTATTCTATTTGATCACTCATTTTATTGGACGAAAGGTGGTTTTTATATTGATAAATAGTGGAATCCAGGCAGTAAAGTTAAAACTAACCCCACCTCCTCTGCTTTTGAATAATTGAAAAATTAAAAGATTGAAATTAAAAACTGCAAAATTGTCAAACAAATTATCAAATGAAATATTCACAGGTTGAAAAATCTAAAAACTAAAAAAAAATTAAAACTGGAATTTCGAATTCGATTTTACATGTAACATGTTATGGTTTTCAATTTTTCGAAATTTCAATTTTTAATTTTGCGATTATACAGTTGTACAATTTTCCGATTTCTCATTTATCCGATTTTTCAATTTGTCGATTTTTTATTTTTAGCAAGTAGAAGAATAAGTCATCTGCCAAAATCAATCAATCGTATCTTGGCAACTAAAAGCCCCGCCCACCCACCCTTATTTTCTTAGAGGATGTCATTTGCCAAAATCAGTCTCATCTTGACAAGTACAATTTTAAAAATTTCGACAAATATTTCTTTTTTTATAAATTTCTTCTTTTTTTGACATTTAAAACGTCTTGCCAATGTTTGTTCACCAATTTCATTACTTCATTAATTTTATAGAAGAAATTTAATTTGACGGAAATCGTTTTACAAACTTTCCCTTTTCTGTGGTGCCTTCATCGATTTACATTATGTAAATTTAAAAGAATCGCATTTGGTTAATGCACCATTTTAGAAAGTTCTTTAAACTTTGTAAACTATCTGTGAACTGTTTTGAACTCTAGTGTCACTATATGATTAGTTGGCATCATTGTTTTGAGAATTATATCAGACGCGACGTTAATAAAATCGTAGATAACATTATTTTATTAATGATTAATTGTTTACTTTGTCAACTAACTGATTGTCTGATTGTCAACACTAATTACGGCCAACTCAGAACCAAACTATTTCCGACGTGGAGATTTTAAATTCGCATTTGTCCTCAACTTTCTAAAGAAATTGTAATACGTTTTGTCAAAATTACAAATGAAATGTTTTCTCTTTAATTTGTCGGGCTTTGCAGTCAATTGCTTGAAAAACTTGGAACAAACACCAAGTTCAAGGCCGTACAATCCGACCGTGGCATTTTCCTCATACATCACGTAAAAACTTCCATCAAAAGAAGTCAACCGAACGAGGTTTCCATGTCACTTTAAGTCTGTTACGCAAATAATTCCCTCGAACTTCTCAAGTTCGCCAAGCACAAAGTCAAACACGCATTTTCGGACCTAACTTGGCAAAAAAGCGCCCCTGGTCAGAAACACAAACAGGCCGCAAATTAAAGAAATAAAAAGCTTTCTTATTACCCCACCCCTCGCCGCCGCCACCCCAAATTCTTCCGCCGCCACAACTCCACGAAACTCCTTATCCAAAGTTTCATCTTTAATCAAGAACAGGAACTTCGTTCTGCCCAAGAATATGACAATATTGTCTCCGTCGTAACATTTGCACCCTCGAGAACGACAAGTCCCTAATTTAGTTTTTCCACCGGCCCTGGATTTTTGTGCCCTTGACCCTCGCCAAATATCGTCACCCTCACAAGCATCTCCTCTCGATTACGCCGACGATTAAACAGAGCAGAAAAGTTTCACCACGTCTAACATCGCGTGCTTAGAGTCGCGCGTGCAAGCTACGAAATTAAATAAATTTCTTAGAGTCGAGGGGAGGAAGGTCGGAATTTCCTGCAAAAATCCACGCCGTGCAGTTTTAATTTAAATCGACAGAATTTAATTTCCTATCTGGCGTAAAATCGGATAATAGAATTACATTTGCGGCGAACTCATTTGCGTTTCTGCTAATGGGAAATTGTAGAGGCACATCGCTAGTACAATTTATGTTAGTGGCGGTGTAGGGTTACGGAAGCTTAATGACGATTAAATCGACAGCGTCGTCCCTTCTGGGGGCCATGGATCACGCGGCGGACCCCTGCGTGGACTTCTTCCAATATGCTTGCGGCACGTGGAACAAGAAGCACGTCATACCGGAGGACCGGAGCTCGATCAGCACGTTCGAGGTGATGGCGGACCAGTTACAGGTCATTCTTAAGGGGGTGTTGGAGGAGCCCATCAATTTGGAGGATAACGAGGCCACGAGGAAAGCCAAGACGTTCTACAACACGTGCATGGACATTCGTAAGTCGCGTGTTGTGTACTAGTACTAGATTTAAATGTTTCCACTGGGTTCTCGGTTCCTTTGTGTTTGTTTCTTTTTCCGTGGAAGTAGTGCATAGCTGCCGTATTGATTTCTCTAAATCCTATCATTTTGTTGCCATCACGAAAACCTTTTGACTTATGACTGGTCTTGTTAAATCAAGGCTGACTACGACGCATTTGATGGCTCTTTGACACGTATCTTCTTCCACGTAAAATAAATATTTAACTTGTGTTTTTCCTTGTTCAAAAAATTCGCCCGTTTTCAGCACGGACGAATTCCGACTCTTCTTTAGACCGGAGTCTCTTAGAACTTTTGATGAGGTTTCCTTAGGTTTCAATTCCACATTCAAACTTGCCAAACTTTTACTCCAACAACACAAATTGCCGCAACTTTTCGGACGAATATTTCCGGTCTTGTCTGGTCCCCTAAACGCACTATCGTTACTCAAATGTCATGGTTCGCCAATCAAATTCAACTCATCTCTATTCCACTTCATTTCTGAGTTCTATTACCTTACGGAATTGCCTCTAACCGTCTACTTACGTTTATTTATGTTAAAGAAGAGCACGTCTAAATTGCTTCATACTCTTTTACATATTCGTGAACGCTGCAGTTCGATAATCGTTCCAAACATGGCGTGTAATAAAATTTTATAGAGGCGCCTTATCGTTCACTCAGAGAGGCGTCTCATTTACCAGTGTCTGCTTTCCTCTTCGTCTTGTACTTCTCGATTCTTAGGCGACCTTTTTTAGCGTCCGTACTTTAGTAAACTGCAAGATACTTGGGGTTTACCCTTCGCTGTCTGGTTTTGCGATACGTTTTCTTGGTTTCCTTTTTGAATTATTTTTCATTTTTATCTAAAATCTATTGGATTCGATTATTTTTCTGATGATTTTTTTTTAATTCAATGAAACCACAGACTATAGTCTACGAGATCAGTATTATTAAAAATTTTTGATCCAGGTGTCTTTCTGAATCCGGTGACCAACATTAGATTTTTGAGTTAATGTCTGGTTTACCAAAATTTTTTCCAAAAATTCGATTACTTCAGTGTTTCCATAAAATCCCATTTTCATCGATTCAGATCTAAAATAACCACAATCCTGCTACTGCAAGATTTAGAAATTTTTTGGTTTCAAATCCCTCATTGAACTCTTCTTTTTTCTGGTTAAAGTTTTTAGAAAACCTCTTAATGTATCGTTCTGTTACTTTCATATCTTTTGATAATCTGGATTCCAGCACTTCTGTGTCTGGAAAACGATAATTCCCCAACTAAACTTCTCGATTTTTACTCTGACAATTCGATTACTGGAAGATTTAACAAATTTTTTGGTCTCCAATACATCACTGAAGTCTTCTGTATTTTTTGCCTTTTCTGATATTTAGATAAGCTCTTTCTCTATCGTTTTGTTAATTTCATGCCTTCTGATAATCTAGATTCTAGCGCTTATATCCTTGGAGATCCCTGATTCCCCATCTAAACTTTCCCATTTTTACTTCAACAATTCTTTTACTTCGCTAATAATTCTATAGAAGCAATTAACCTAGAAGAAATATTGATCAAGCGTCCATTTTCATTGATTTACAGTATATTCAGATTTTAAAAAATGACAATTCTTCTACTCATACCACTTCTGCAAGATTTTAGAACTCTTTTGGTCTCCCATATTTCACTGAAGTCTTTCGTGTTTTTTTTCTGTTAAAATTTTTAAACCATCTCTTCCATTATTGTTCGGTTAATATCATGTCTTCTGATAATCTAGATTCTAGCACTTCTATCCTTGGAGATCCGCGATTCCGCATCTAAACTTCCCCATTTTTACTTCAACAATTATATTACTTCACTAATGATTCTATCGAAGAAATTAATCTAGAAGAAAGTTTTATCAACTGTCCATTTTCATCGATTTACAATATCCAGATTGAAAATAATCACAATTCTTCTACTTATACTTCTGCTGCAAGATTTTAGAACTCTTTGGGCCTGCGATACTTCATTGAAGTATTCTGAGTTTTTTTTTCGGTTAAAATTTTTAGACCATCTCTTCCATTATCGTTCTGTTAATGTCATGTCTTCTGATAATCTAGATTCTAGCACTTCTGTTCTTGGAGAACCATAATTCCCCATTTTTATTCTAACAATTCGATTACTGCAAGATTTTAGAACTTTTTTCGTCTCCAATACCTCAGTGAAGTCTTCTGAATTTATTTTTCCTTTCTGATTAAAATTTTTAGATTCTATTAATTTTATGCCTTCTGAGAATCTAGATTCTACAACTTCTATCCTTGGAGTTCCATGATTCCCCATTTAAACTTCCCCATTTTTACTTCAACAATTTTATTACTTCGCCGATGATTCTATAGAAGAAATTAATCTACAAGAAAGTTTTATCAACTGTCCATTTTCATCGATTTACAGTATCTAGATTTAAAATAATCACAATTTTTCTACTTCTACTTCTACTGCAAGATTTTAGAATTTTTTTAGTTTCCGATACTTTACCGAAGTCTTGTGTTTTTTTCTTTTTTTTTCGTTAAAATTTTTAGACCATCTCTTCCATTATCGTTCTGCTAATGTCATGGTTTCTGACAATCTAGATTCTAGGACTTCTGTTCTTGGAGAACCATAATTCTCATCTACATCCCCATGTTTACTCCAACCATCTATAAAAGAAATTAATTCGACATGAATCGTTCTATCAACTGTCCATTTTCATTGATTTACAGTATCCAGATTTAAAATAATCACAATTCTTCTACTTCTACTGCAAGATTTTAGAACATTTTTGCTCTCCGATACTTCACCGAAGTTTTCTGTTTTTTTTTCGTTAAAATTTTTAGACCATCTCTTCTATTATCGTTCTACTAATGTCAAGTCTTCTATAATCTAGATTCTAGCACTTCTGTCCTTCGAGAACGATAATTCCCCTTCTGAACTTCCCCATTTTTACTCCAACAATTCTATTACTTGGCTGATCATTCTATAGAAGAAATTTAATCGACGTGGATCGTTTTATAAACAGTCATTTTTATCGACTTGGAGTATCCAGATTTAAAATGCTCACAATTCTTCTGCTGCAAGATTTTAGATCTTTTGGTCTCCAATACTTTTTTGAAGTTTTCTGTTTTTTTTCCTTGTTTCCGGTTAAAATTTTTAGATAACCTCTTCCTCTTTCGTTGTGTTAATTTTATGTCTTCTGATAATCTAGATTCTGGCACTTCTGTGACTGGAGATCGATAATTCCCCATCTAAACTTCCTCATCTTTCTCCAACAATCTATTAGTTCGATGATGATTCTATAGAAGAAATTAATTTAGAAGAAAATTTTATCAACTGTACATTTTCACAGATTTACAGTATCTAGATTTAAAATAATCTCAATTCTTCTACTTCTGCTGCAAGATTTTAGAACTTTTTTGGTCTCCGATACTTCACCGAAGTTTTCTGTTTTTTTTCCTTTAAAATTTTTAGACCATCTCTACTATTATCGTTCTACTAATGTCAAGTCTTCTATAATCTAGATTCTAGCACTTCTGTACTTGGAAAACCATAATTCCCCATCTAAACTTCCCCATTTTTACTCCAACAATTCTATTACTTGGCTGAACATTCTATAGAAGAAATTTCATTCAACGTGGATCGTTTTATAAACAGTTATTTTTATCGATTTTGAGTATCCAGATTTAAAATGCACACAATTCTTCTGCTGCAAGATTTTAGATCTTTTTGATCTCCAATACTTCTTTGAAGTTTTCTGTTTTTCATTTTTCCGGTTAAATTTTTTAAATAACCTCTTCCTCTATCGTTTTGTTAATTTCATGTCTTCTGATAATCTAGATTCTGGCACGTCTGTGACTGGAGATCGATAATTCCCCATCTAAACTTCCTTATTTTTCTCCAACAATTCTATTACCTCGGTGACGATTCTATAGAAGAAATTAATTTAGAAGAAAGTTTTATCAACCGTTCATTTTCGTCGATTTACAGTATCCAGATTTAAAATAATCTCAATTCTTCTACTTCTACTGCAAGATTTTAGAACTTTTTTGGTCTCCGTTAGTTCATCGAAGTCTTCTATTTTTTTTTCTTTTTTTCCGTTAAAATTTTTAGACCATCTCTTGGATTATCGTTCTACTAATGTAAGATCTTCTGATAATCTAGATTCTAGCACTTTTATCCTTGGAAAACCATAATTCCCCATCTAAACTTCCCCATTTTTACTCCAACAATTCTATTACTTACCTGATCATTCTACAGAAGAAATTTAATTCGACGTGGATCGTTTTATAAACAGTTATTTTCATCGATTTGGAGTATCCAGATTTAAAATGCCCACAATTCTTCTGCTGCAAGATTTTAGATCTTTTTGAGCTCCAATACTTCTTTGAAGTTTTCTTTTTTATCCTTTTTTTCCGGTTAAAATTTTTAAATAACCTCTTCTTCTATCGTTCTGTTAATTTTATATCTTCTGATAATCTAGATTCTGGCACTTTTGTGACTGGAGATCGATAATTCCCCATCTAAACTTCCTCATTTTTCTCCAACAATTTTATTACTTCGATGATGATTCTATAAAAGAAATTAATTTAGAAGAAAGTTTTATCAACTGTTCATTTTCGCCGATTTACAGTACCCAGATTTAAAATAATCTCAATTCCTTTACTTCTGCTGCAAGATTTTAGAACATTTTTGGTCTCCGATACTTCACTGAAGTTTTCTGTTTTTTTTCTTCTTTTTTTTCCGTTAAAATTTTTAGACCATCTCTCCATCTCTTCCATTATCATTCTACAAATGTCAGGTCTTCCGATAATCTAGATTCTAGCGCTTTTGTACTTGGAAAACCATAATTCCTCATCTAAACTTCCCCGTTTTTACTCCAACAATTCTATTACTTGGCTGAACATTCTATAGAAGGAATTTCATTCAACGTGTATCGTTTTATAAACAGTTATTTTCATTGATTTGGAGTACCCAGATTTAAAATGCTCACAATTCTTCTGCTGCAAGATTTTAGATCTTTTTGATCTCTAATACTTCTTTGAAGTTTTCTGTTTTTTCCTTTCTTCCGGTTAAAATTTTTAAATAACCTCTTCCTCTATTGTTCTGTTAATTTCATGTCTTCTGTTAATCTAGATTCTGGCACTTCTGTGGCTGGAGATCGATAATTCCCCATCTAAACTTCCTCATTTTTCTCCAACAATTCTATTACTTCGGTGACGATTCTATAGAAGAAATTAATTTAGAAGGAAGTTTTATCAACTGTTCATTTTCGTCGATTTACAGTATCCAGATTTAAAATAATCACAATTCTTCTACTTCTACTGCAAGATTTTAGAACTTTTTTGCTCTCCGATACTTCACCGAAGTTTTCTGTTTTTTTTTTTCGTTAAAATTTTTAGACCATCTCTTCTATTATCGTTCTACTAATGTCAAGTCTTCTATAATCTAGATTCTAGCACTTCTGTCTTTGGAAAACCATAATTCCCCATCTAAACTTCCCCATTTTTACTCCAACAATTCTATTACTTGGCTGAACATTCTACAGAAGAAATTTCATTCAACGTGGATAGTTTTATAAACAGTTATTTTCATCGATTTGGAGTATCCAGATTTAAAATGCTCACAATTCTTCTGCTGCAAGATTCTAGATGTTTTTGATCTCCAATACTTCTTTGAAGTTTTCTGTTTTTTCCTTTTTTCCGGTTAAAATTTTTAAATAACCTCTTTCTCTATCGTTTTGTTAATTTCATGTCTTCTGATAATCTAGATTCTGGCACTTCTGTGACTAGAGATCGATAATTCCCCATCTAAATTTCCTCATTTTTCTCCAACAATTCTATTATTTCGATGATGATCCTATAGAAGAAATTAATTTAGAAAAAAGTTTTATCAACTGTTCATTTTCATCGATTTACAGATCCAGATTTAAAATAATCACAATTCTTCTACTTCTACTGCAAGATTTTAGAACTTTTTTGGTCTCCGATACTTCACCGAAGTCTCCTGTTTTTTTCTTTTTTCCGTTAAAATTTTTAGACCATCTCTTCCATTATCGTTCTACAAATGTCAAGTCTTCCGATAATCTAGATTCTAGCACTTCTGTTCTTGAAGAACCATAATTCCCCATCTAAACTTCCCCATTTTTACTCCAACAATTCTATTACTTAGCTGATCTTTCTATAGAAGAAATTTAATTCGACGTGGATAATTTTTGATCTTCTTGGTCTCCAATACTACTTTGAAGTTTTCTGTTTTTCTCCTTTTTCCGGTTAAAATATTTAGATAATCTCCTCCTAATTTTATTTCTTCTGGTAATCTAGGTTCTAGCACTTCTGTCCGTGGAGAAGTTCCCAGTTTTTACTCTAACAATTCGATTACTTCACTGATCATTTTACAAAAGAAATTAATTATTTGTCATAGATAGTTTTATCAACTGTCCATTTTCATCGGTTTACATTATACAGAATTAAAATAAACACAATTCTTCTGTACAAAATTTTATAACTTTTTTAGTCTCCAATGCCTCACTGAAGTTTTTTCATGTTTGTCTGTCTGTCTGTCTGTCGTCTGTGTCGATTTTTATTAAACAGCTAATTTCCAAAACTGCTGGACTGATTATTGTCATATTTTATAAACATTTTAGGAATGTTGTGTTTTTGTACATGAACGCTAGCTAAAATTTATCTAATCATTCCCATCAACAATTTAATGACGTCAGCTCAAAATTTTGCATGTTAAATGGTATTTTAATTTGATAAAACAACATACGTCTGCACTTGTGATTTATGAATGCGCCTTGATTTTTTAGCCTGATTTAAAGCGTTTAATCGCCCATATTTACAATTTTTCAATGGTATTCCACTATGTTTAGTTGCAGATTATACAGATAATCAACCGGTAATTGTCGTATCACCTTCTACTCAGCTTTATTTTGAAACTCGAACAAGAAGTTTGATTTTGATCATTTAGAACATCTTCCTCCAGTTTATTACTTACCATCATTTTGTTGTCTATAACCTAAAAATATTGCCTTTAATAGGGTTTCCCTTGCTTTGGTCGAAATTTATCAACCTCTTCCTTTCTCTATTATAAAAACAATAAAATGCGAAATCCTTGTGCAAACGATCAGATTAGCAACTTAGCTAAAAATACAGGGATATAATTCACACAAATAAAAACTTGTTAAGCTTATCAATGGTTAGAATTTCTAAATTACACACAACATGAACACACCCCTTGTGTCCCACGGTGCTAATCCTCGGATAACCCGGTTCACAGCCATCCAAATTTGTGTTCGTGCTCTAGCATTTAGACTCTCCAGCATGTATAATATGTTCCGTCGAGCGACACCGCACATAAGCACAATATTCCTCGATTCTCCATTATTCCATTCCGTCCACAACAGAATTAAACACTGCGTGTGTATCAGACACGAATGAGTAATTTACTGAACTGACCTTCCACCACCCACGATTAATAACCCCCAACAAAAGAACTTTTATTAGTGGCTCATATTTTCTGAGTCTTTAACTGCGTCTTTTCCAGCCCAGATTCGGAAGATTGGCGACGCTCCGCTCCGGGACGTTCTGGAGCAACTAGGCGGATGGCCCGTGACCAAGCCCGACTGGGAGCCCCCCAGCTTCTCCATCGAGGTGCTCCTCGGCCGCATCCGCGGCATCTACAACGACGGAGTCCTGGTGGAGCAGTGGGTCGGTCCCGACGACAAAAACAGCTCAGTTAACATCATCCAGGTGCGCACAAAGTAAGAAGTAGGTAGGCGGAGCATGCGGATCTTAGCACCCCAGAAGTACCTCGGTTTGTGTCTGCTTGGTTCATGGGGGCCGGTTTCTAGATGGACCAGATGCAGCTGGGGCTACCCAGCCGGGACTACTACCTGAAGGCCAGCAGCGAGGGCGACATGGCGGCGTACCACAAGTACATGACCAACATCGCGGTACTCCTAGGGGCCAACAAGACCACGGCGAAGGAGGAGCTCCAGGAGGTCGTCGATTTCGAGAGGAGGCTGGCTAATGTGAGTGCTCAAATTGGTTTTTAATATGCATGGGTGGAGTAACGCGATTTCGAAGTAAACGGATTTGGCGGCGACGAGATGAACGTGTTAATCCGGCGATTGTTTTCGGGGGGAAATTGGTTTTCCTTACAGTGGTTGCGTTCGAATGGCGAAACGTTTCCTATTAATAGAAGCTATTACTTCGAATTGATATTCTGAATCACTTAGTCATTAGGGGTGATTGATTCGCTTGGGACGGAATATGGAGGACCTAGGGAAAGTCGGCTCTGCGCTTTGGAGATATTGGAACTTTTAAAGAATCAGCACGCAAATGTTTTGAGCCTATGGGCGGATCATTTTTGCCGGTCGTCACCGAAGGAGGCGGTCCAAATCGTCCAAGGGCAGAATTTGTAGGTAGGCTCAAACTACAACGAAATTTACGTGTTGACCAAATTCTTACCCTGAATTAGTTTTAATTTTATAAATACCCTACCTAAAATGTTCAGTCTATACTTGTGATTTACCATTCCATTAACATTTTTTGCATTTGTTTATACATACAGGGTGACTCAAAAAAAAAATGACTGAGTCAATTTATTTTATTGAAGAAATCAAGAATTGCAAAACTGAATACTTTGAAATCTTGTCAATTAGTTAGAAAAAAAAAACCTGTCCTGCTCTAATAACATCGAGAATATGCTCAAAATCACACTAATATTAGGTCTAATTATGCCGACCATAGTTATAAAATTCACATTAAAGTAAGTCACGGACATTTTTTGAAGTGTACTACATTTCAAAAAGCAAAAAAAAAATGTTCAGTTCATAAACTTCATAATTTTGGTTTAAAGTTTATCAATCGTATTTGACGCTTTATTTTATCCGTTCCATTTGTTATCCTTTACTGCGGTCTCTCTTGGGTCGAGGTGTAACACCGGACCGAACGTTCTTCGACCAATAGGATAATTTATTACTTCCGACATCTTTTCGGCGACAAATTTAATCTTCGCATACTTCAGCGTAGTTAGTGAACTCGTTGTGACCACTGAAATATACAAAGAGTAAATTTTGAAATGGAACGAAAGTCGAAGAATACTTTCAAAGCCACGATCAAAATGTATTTGCTTATCTTCGCCAAAAAATGCATGATGTCATCGTAAAATTTGATATGATGAGTCTATACCCGTGATTTATCATTGCAGTAATATTTTTTAGATTCACTTATACAGCCTGTCTCAAAAAAAGGTCACTTCGATTTTCGATTTTTCGTTTTTTCGACCAACAGTTTCATCGAATTAGATTTTTCAGTTTCCATTTTTCTATCAATTTTTCGATTTTATTACTTTCTAATTTTCTGATTTTTCAAATTTGCGGTATTTTGATTTTTCGAGTTTTCAGTTTTTTCGTTTTTCGATTTTTTAATTTGCCATTCTTTCAATTTTCGATTTTTCGTCTTTCCATTTTTAGATTTTTTGATGTTTCTGTTCGTCAGTTTTTAGACTTTGCAATTTTTTGCATTTTTCGATTATATTTTACTTTCCGATTTTTTTGATTTTTGAATTCTCGATTTTACGTTTTTAATCATAAAATTTTTCGATTTTTCGGTTGTTTTATTTTTCGACCTTCGATTTTTCGATTTGCGATTTTTCGTTTTTCCGCTTTTGTGGTTTTTCGATTTTTCTGTTTGTTTCAGTTTTTGAGGTTCTGCAATTTGCAGCTTTTAGATTTCAATTTTGTTACTTTCCGATTTTCCACTTTTCGATTTTTTGATTTTTTTTCGATCGTCGTTTTTTCGATTTTAATTTTTTCGATTTTTTGATTTTTCAATTTTTAGGCCTTGCAATTTTTTTACTTTTCGCTTTTTCGAGTATTTGTTTCATCGAATTTTCGATTTTTCGAGTTTTCGATTTTCGATTTTTCGGTTTTTCCATTTTCCGATTTTCCATGTTTAGATATTTTTCGATTTTTTTTTATTTTTCGATTGTTCTGTTCGTCAGTTTTGAGACTTTGTAATTTTTACTTTTCCACTTTTCTATTATTTTAGTTTCGGATTATTCGATTTTTGAATTTTCGTTTTGTTTTTCATTTTTCGATTTCCGATTTTTTAATTTTTCGATTTTTTGGTTTTTTAATTTGTCGATCCTCGATATTCCGATTTTCGATTTTTCGATTTTCCAATCTTCGATTTTTCAATTTCCAGTTTTCGATTTTCCACATTTTGATTTTACGATTTTTCGGTTTTTCTGTTCGTCAGTTTTTAGGCCTTGCAATTTGTTTACTTTTCGATTTTTCGATTATTTTACTTTCCAGTTTTTTGATTTTTGAATTGTCGACTTTTAGAGTTTTCAATATTATGAATTTTCGAATTTTCGGTTTTCCTATTTTTCGATTTTTGATTTTTCCATTTTTAGATTTTTGATTTTCCAGTTTTGCATTTTCAGATTTTCTGTTTTTCGCATATCTGATTTATCAAATTTTCAAATTTTTGGATATTTGATTTTCGAATTTTCGATTGTTCAGTTTTCCATTTTTCAGCTTTAGATTTTACAAATTTTCGAGTTTCAATTTTCAGATTTTTGATTTTTCGATTTTCTTTTTAAATCTTTGAATTTTTCGGTTTTGGTTTTTCGAATTTTTGATTTATAATTTTTCCATTCGGCTTTTTAAATTTTTCGATATTCTATTTTCCGCTTTTCAGAATTTTCGATTTTCAGTTTTCAGACTTTCGATGATTGGAATTTTGGATTTTTCAGTTTTATGATTTTTCGAAAATTTGAGTGGTCGAATTTTCGATTTTTTAATTCATAGATTTTTCTATGTTCAATTTTTCAATTTAAATTTTGCGATTTTCAATTTGTCCACTGTCGATTTTTAGAATTTTCGGTTTTTCAGTTTTTCCATTCTCAACTGTTAGACTTCAATTTTGTTACTTTCCGATTTTTTGGTTTTCGATTTTCCAATTTTCAGAATTTTCAAGTTTATTCAGATTTTCCATTTTCCACTTTTTCGATTTTAGATTTTTCGAATTTTTGTTTTTCCAATTTTTTGCTTTTTCGAGTTTTCTGTTCGTTTCAGTTTTTAGACTTGGCAATTTTTTTTACTTTATATATTTTGATTATTTTAATTTCCGATTTTTTTTATTTTTGTTTTTGATTTTTTTAATTTTCAATATTACAAATTTTTGACTTTTCGATTTTTTGGTTTTCCCGTTTTTCAATTTTCGATTTTTCGATTTTTGAGGTTTGTGAATTTCCACTTTTCGATGGACCTAGGTATTTGATTAATTGAATTTTCGATTTTTTGATTAGCTATTTTTAAATTTTCGATTTTTACGATTTGTATTTTTCGATTTTCTGTTTTTTGCATTAGTGAATTTCAGTTTTTCCGGTTTTTGATTTTGCGCATATTTGATTAATCAAATTTTCGAAAAAGTTACCATGCTTACAAAAACTTCAAAACATCTATAATATTTCAAAGTATTCAGTTTTGCTATTCTTGATTTCTTCAATAAAATAAATTGACTCAGTCATTAACTTTTTTGGGACACCTGTATAACCAAATCTAAAAAATATTAATGCAGTGATAAATCACAAGTATAAAACTCATCATATTTTATACATTTAAGATAGGATTTATTCTGCAAAATTTTGAGGTGACGTCATACATTTTTTAGAGGGGATAAGCAAATGTATTTTAATTAAAAATGTATCATGTTTATCATGATTTTCAAACATCTGCAAGATTTCAAAGTATTCGATTTTGCAAATTCAAAATTAACTTGCAAAATATTGTTTTATAATTTTGAATTTTTTTCCAAAAATCTGGACGTTTTGGCTCACGGAGCCATAAACTACATGTGTAGGACTATGTTACTGTATACACTTTAAAACCCATTTACTATGCATAAATTTGAAGTGACGTCATCACATTATTGGTGGGGATGATTAGACAAATTTAATAATTTTGCGACATTTATGAAAAAAATATCAGTTAACAAAAATGGCACGTTTTTATTATTATGCCAGACACTAAACGACAATATCGTTTTTTTTAAGAGTATTTTATGTGAAAAAGTGATGAAATTTTTTATACGGAACAATTGGTCGAAAGATGTTAGAAAGCAAAGTAATTCATGTCCGGACCATCGTTACTCACGAACGAAAGTGACCATTATTTTATGGGAACAACTACCTGGTAAATCTTCTCCGTCAAATTCGAGAGAACTTGTGTGAGCCATAAATATTTCTTACCAAATGTATATATAACTACTGTCCGTCCCGTTATTGTCAATCAAATTTTATAGGGTAAAATGTGAATTTCGTTGTAGTTTGAGCCTACCTACAAATTCTGCCCTTGAAGGATTTGGACCGCCTTCTTCGGTGAGGGCAGGCAAAAACGATCCGCCCATAGGCTCAAAACATTTGCGTGCGATTGTACATATAACACATTTATTAATATCATTTTATCATAGAAAAAGGAGTCCGCAGAGGATACAAATACAACTTTCTGTCAAAAATGTCACAGCTGGAGTATCCCCCACGTGTCAGAGGGGTATTCTGACCACTGAACTATCCAGGCGTGATCATATCCCGTCAGTTCCCACCGCAAAAACCTTTTACAATCATACCCTTAATTGTATTAACCTTGAAGAATGACTTGTCGCAGTTCCTGGACTGCGATTTCAATGTAGAAAGGCATCAATTTTGGGTTTTCAATTTTCTGGTGCTCCCTCTGGCTCTAATCCTTTGAAAATAAACTTCCCGCTTTTGGCTTCCGGTGGAAAAACAAGCCCCATATCCGCCAAAGCCATTTTCTTTTCTCATCTTTTCTTTTCCGCCCCCTGCGGCAAATCCCTTTCCTTGCGGTTGCCTCCGGGGTTTCCCTGCCGCATAGGTTCGCCGGGTATTCGCTCGGCACGACTGCAATTTCCCTGTCCACTTTTCGGTCGACGGGGTCGGATTCCGGGCGAATTATCCATCCCCGAGCTCGACTCCTCGAGCGTAAAAACTCCAAACTCCAGATGGACCCGTAATAATTTAAAATTTCAGGCTTCGTTGCCCGAGGCGGACCGGCACGACACCAGTGCAATCTACAGGAAATTAACACTGCAGGAATTGCAAACGATCGTGCCTCAAATTAAATGGCTCGAATACCTGAGTTCCTTCCTCGACGCCGATATTAACGAGCAGGAGCCCGTCGTCGCCTACGGACTCTCATATTTCATCGAAATGGGGAAAATTCTTGCCGAGACGGATCGCAGGTGACTAATGAAAAAAAAATTAAAAAAGGGGTGAACGGGGTGTCGTAGGGTGGTGCACAACTACGTGCTGTGGCGGCTGATCATGTCGCTGGTGCCTCACATGATCGATGACTACCAGAAGGAGCGCGTCGAGTTCCGGAAGATCCTCCAGGGGGTGTTGAGCGAGCGCCACCGATGGTCCCAGTGCGTCGAGTGGACGAATAAGAAGCTGGGGATGGCGGTGGGGGCGCTTTTCATACGGGATAACTTCAACCACGACAGCAAAGTGAGGCGGAGACGGGGGTGACGCTTTAATTTGATGAGAGTTCATTTAGGAGACGGCGCTGACGATGATCCACACGATCCGGGAGGCCTTTAATGAGCTCCTGGCGGAGAACGATTGGATGGACGATGAAACGAGAGCGGTAGCGAAGGAAAAAGCGGACGCGATGAACGAGAGAATCGGATACCCGCAGCTAATCACCAACAAGGAAGAACTAGTAAAAGAATACGCTTCCGTAAGTAGTTTAAAAAGCGCGCCGATACACAACCAACCGACGAACGCGCTTTTCGCGCCAAATTCAAACCACGTCGTTTTGCAGTTAAACATCACGCGAAAAGAGTTCATGACGAACGTCCTCAATATTTTGAAATACGACGCGGAACAAAACCTACAGAAGCTGCGACAACCGGTTGATAAAGATAAATGGTCGACTGAACCAGCGGTTGTCAATGCCTTCTACAATCCCAACAAAAACGACATCGGTGAGTAACTCCACTCCATTTCTCGTAATGGAGTTTTCACCGTTTTTGTCTCGTAGTGTTTCCTGCGGGCATTTTGCAGCCGCTTTTCTACAGCCAGCACTTCCCCAAGTCGCTGAATTACGGCGGTATTGGCGTGGTTATCGGCCACGAGATCACCCACGGTTTCGACGATAAAGGTAAACTCCGTTGCTTTCTCCTCCATTATTAACAGCTTTTTTTCAAAGGCCGCCAGTTCGACAAGGATGGTAATATGATGCAATGGTGGAACAACGCCACCATCAGGGCGTTCCGGGAAAGGACCCAATGCATAATTGACCAGTACTCGAGATACAAGATTGATGAAGTAGGCCTCTATGTAAACGGGCGGATGACCCAAGGCGAGAACATCGCCGACAACGGCGGTTTAAAACAGTCGTTTCGGGTAAAGTTCTAAAAAATTCAGCGCGGCACTCTTTCATCCGGCGCTAATTTCCAGGCGTACCGGAAATGGGTTTCGCAGTACGGCGAGGAGCCGGATCTGCCCGGGCTCAATCTAACCCACGACCAGCTCTTCTTCCTCAACTACGCCCAGATCTGGTGCGGCTCCATGCGCCCGGAGGACGCTCTAACTAAGGTTAGGTCCAGCGTGCACTCGCCCGGGCCCATCAGGGTCCTGGGACCGCTTTCCAACTCCTGGGATTTCGCCAAAGCTTACGGTTGTCCGCTGGGATCGCCGATGAACCCGACTAATAAATGTAGCGTTTGGTAAATAAAAAGGACCATCGTTTGTTTGCGGTTAAATGTGATTTTTTCAAAGCTACAGCAGTTATTTGTCAAGTGTCTCGTTGTAATTTTAAGGTTTAACTTCATGATTCTACTAATTGATATCTTTCGGCTGCTAGGCCATACCTTGTGCAATGTAAATAAATAAATAAATACTAAATGATTGTTTTGTAAGATGTGGCGCAAGTTTTCATGCAAGGTTTCGTATTTCAAACAAGTTCTGGACTAATATACAAATCATGTATTTTCACATTATTACTTGGTGTACTATTTATTAATAAATATTATTCAAAAGAGTTGGAAGTTTAAGGGGAGTTTCTTTTCTTCAGTCGGCGAGGGGTCAAAAAACAAAGCATACGTCATTTTATATATTTTTTTGTCTAACACAGACTATGACTGTACATTTCTAAGCACACATCAATATTATAATTCTCCGTGTACTTCACAAGTAAATACCTCGAGTGCGGGTGAAAAACCTAACGAAAAATACAGATTAATATTAAATTAAAATCAACGCGTATTACAAAAATTCATTTACTGTTAATTCCTCCATCTGAAAAAGCTTCATATAAAATTAGCAGTCTTGCAAAACGAAACAAAACAGGAATTTCGCTCAAACGAGAGGAATACGAACTAAACTACCAACATAACAACAAAAACTCATCTCCTGAGCACCTCTCTTGCGAGCATCGTCAATTCCTAACCTAACAACAGACTGACCTAACCTAAATTAATAACTAAGATAACGTAAAAATCGTTGGATTAGTGCAGACTTTTACGTCACCATACATCTTATTAAAAATTAAGATACTGCAAAAATTCTGAAAACAGAATTATAATATTTTTATTAAAAAAACTGAATAAAAATAATTTCAACAGTTGCAAGAAGTCTTTAATACACACACTGACAATTTACGGCTGAACTTGCGCCATAAAACCTCAACATTTAAATAGATCACATGTATATTAATTGAAAACTTCCAAATAGATTCCTCTAAATGTATAATCGTGAAATTTTGTTAGTGCCAGTGTGTTTAACTGTACGTCAAACTTTGAGGAACCCCGTTCACAGTCTTGGATTTGAGGATATCGTTTTCGTACGTCATAACCGTCTCCCTTCCGTTTTCGTACACTCTGCAAGAGAAACAATTAAGTCTTGAGTGACACCCCGACGCAATAACTTACTTCTTCGTGGTGATCTTCTTCCCGTTGGAGAACCGCGTCGAAGTCGACGTGCGCTTGACGTTGGCAGAGCCGCCCCCAGCCCCCTTCGTAAACGTACTATTAATGGTACTAAACGACGTGAAGCCCCCGTGGCCCGCATTGAAGAAGTCGTCCATTAAACTACCCCCTAAACTCACCCCGAACGGACTGAATAAAGTCGAACTGAGGGCGTTCTGCGGGTGCGAGTGCCTATTCCTCCGCCGGTCTCTATATCCATGGTCGTGAAAGTCTGCAAACAAACCGTCTAAACAAAGTGTTAATTTTGGGACTGTTAGTTGTGGCGTGAGTTGTATCAGCGCACCCACCTCCGAATAAATCTGCCAGCGTCGATCCGCCGAAGAACTCCCTGAACACGTCTTCGGGATCCCTGAAGGTGAAAAAGCCGAAACCTCCGAAATCAAAGTCGTCTTCGTGCCTACTTCGGCTGCGACTGCCTCCATTGATGAGTCCTTCTTTACCGTACTGGTCGTACATTCGTCTCTTCTTGTCTGTAAAAGAACAAGTGTGCGATGAGTGGGGTGTGAGTGTCTGGTGGACGGAAGCAAACAGACGAGTCCTCAGAGTCGTTGTTGGCCTGAGCTAAAAACGACAAAGGAGGCAAAAGGGAGAACTAAGGTTAGTTCTACGTCGATCCTTTGCAGCGTTAGTAGTAGGAAAAAGCGCAAACTTGTCTTAGTAACATTAGTAGTACAAGCTGGAAGGTTAAAGCAATCGATGGTTAGACGATGGGTAGGTCCCGCTAGCACACTTGTTTTTTGTATCTACCGAAGAACCGATGGAAGGGAGTATGAGTGTCAAAGTAACTCCGGTGGGACCTCGATGTTCTTGTAGTACTGGACCTATTCATGCGGTTGTCGTAAATTTTTCGTTTCGAATCTGAATAATCCCGAAAACAAACAAAAACAAAAAGAACAGATAGCACCTGGTCTAAATAACGACTGTACAAGTAGTCAAAAGAGTACTAACCATCAGATAGAACTTCGTATGCTTCTGAGATCTCTTTGAATTTCTTGGTGGCTTCTTCTATGTTGTCTTGGTTCTTGTCGGGATGCCATTTCAGAGCCAATTTACGATATCTGGAAGACAATTTTGAAACGAAAATACAGAAACCATGTCGGTACTTACGCTTTTTTGATTTCTGCCGTCGTTGCATTTTTTGACACCTCGAGGACTTTGTAGTAGTCCACCATTTTGGTGCCACTAGCGTCCTTATGCCCCAGTTTTACGGAAGGTTACTGAAACAAGCAATAAATTGACACTCTTATCACTTGAGTCATCTGATACGATAAAATTACCAACCAAACAATACATCACAGTGTAGTAGAAATTTTCTGACGGATATTTCGCATAATTTTGAATTTTGTCGACGCAGCCGACTAGACGATCTCTAGTTGGAGTGGGTGCGTTCCGAATCAATTGGTGACCGCTTTTTCACTAAACGTAATAATAGAGATTTCATAACGCCGTTCCACGCCAGTGGCTTACGTTTCACGAGACGATTGTAATCCGACTAAATTGCTTTGTTTATTTCGCCGAGATGAAGGTTTCGCGTCTTATTTTCGAACGTCTAATTACTTTTATGTAACAGGACTGTCACGCACAGCGACCCTGACGCTTTGACGTGGAAGAATTTGCTGTTCGAGTGCTGCTGATAATAATAACATAATTACCGGCCGACTTAATGACTCACTGGTTGCATTATTTGCATGCAATTTTATCCTGTTATCGCATAACGAGCTTTCTCTTTCGGTGCGGATTGCCGGACCTTGGCGGAACGAGGTGGAAGCAACCCTTGACGAAAAGAAGATGGGCGGCAGGTGCAGAAAAAATAGGAACATCTGCCTGCTAACGCACCTGCCGGAGTCGAAGAGTTCTTTATGATATAATTCGAACTCGAAATTAATTTGTGTGACCATGTTGGGTCTCGTGGATTAGGAATCTAGAACGTTTCACCAAAGAAACTATCAATTTTTATGATTGCGGCTTTTACGTAAATTTAAAATTCGAAAATCTTTTTCAGGAATTTTATAATTGACGGTTTTGTAATGGAAACTGGCTTTGAAAAATATCTTGTAACAGAATACATGTCGACAATTAGGGTCAATTCCTATAATAAATAATATCTACCTACATCTCCACATTCTCTCAATTTTTTGTTTCCAACTCAACAAAAATTGTTAGAATTCTATTCTGGATTTCATAACCTATAATCGTGTGGTAATGTGTTTCTTCCAATTTATACACTATAATTTAAATAGCAGTTATATATGTGTAACATATATCACTATTTATGTGATTTATGTACCAACAACGCGGTGTGCTAATAACTGGAATTCTCAGCAGTAAGTCAAACCCGCACAATGCGGTATATTTTTCACTTTATACTGAGATTTTATTAAATACAACACCACTCTCTAAAAATTGTACACGCTTGTTTTCCTTTCTATCTTGACATTTTTACTCAGTAAGTTAAGGAAGTGTTGTAATCGAGTCGATTTCCGTCCGTCCGTCCGCTCCCTGTGTCAATTTTATTAGATATTATTAGTTTATGAATCCGGGTTAAGTTTTTACGTTAAGCATCCAGATTGGTGGAAAAAAATCAAAATTACATAGCAACATTTTACAATTTAACTCTGAAATTGCCAAATCGATCGACGATAAATCGTTTACCAAAGTAGGTTTTTACGTTATAGGCTATAATGGTTATTACAAAAAAAATCGCAAAAAATGAAACAATTTTTCAAGATTTCAATCTTTTCACATTTTTTGCTCCCTATACTGGAAGTGGAGACTTTATAAAAATCAAGCAGGATTTAAATGGTTTATACGTTTTAAGTTTCTTGTTGCCGAAATAAGTCTACACATATTAAGGAAGAAAAAAAGGAAAAATATAGCCCCGCCCACCCACCCGGTCTCAATTGTGATGAATTTTTTTTATTCGTCGTCAGTCAAGAGGGCGGAGCTTAACTGCAAAATCCCCATTTCTCTACGAGAAATTAAAAACACGTTTTTGAGTATCGTGTTCAAAGAATACTATGTGTATTACCTATCCCCGCCCTGATCTCAATTCTTAATTGTGATGAATTTTTCATTCGTTATGAGATCGGGGGGCAGGTCTTAATTGCAAGCAAAATCCATATTTGTCTAGAAGAATTTACCATTTTAAACATGCATTAAGTTTCTTGTTCTGAAAAAATGACTACGTATAAAGAAAACAAGGCAAAATTTAAGCCCCGCCCACCCTCCCTGTCTCAATTGTGATGATTTTTTTAATTGCAAAATCCATATTTCTTATCAAAATTTACTATTTTAAACGTGTTTTAAGTTTCTAAGAATAAAAAAAATCATCACAATTCGGATGGGGTGGGTGGGCGGGGTTTATTTTTCTTAATGTATAGTCGGTGGACATATAAAACTTTTGAGTATCATGTTCAAAGAATACCAAATATATTTAGAAAAAAAAGGCAAAATATAGACCCCGCCCACCCACCCCTACTCAATTGTGATGATTTTTTTATTCAAAGAAACTTAAAACACGTTTAAAAAGATACATTTTTGTAGGGAAATATGGATTTTGCAATAATTAGGCCCCGCCCCTCGGTCTGACAACGAATGAAAATTTATCACGATTGAGATCGAAACGGATGGGTGGAGCTTCTCTTTTGGTTTTCTTTTTTAATTAATACATTTAGTTTTCCTTGTAGTACACGATTACTTAAGAACATACTTCACATGGTAATTTCTCGTAGAAAAATAAGAATTTTTCAATTAAGCTCCTCCCCTCGGCTTACGACGAATAAAAAAAAAATCATCAGAATTGAGATAGGGCGGGTGGGAGGGGTTTATATTTTGCCTTAGAAATCGAAAAGTCAAAAAAACAAAGTCGAAAAATCGCAAACTTAAAAAATCGAAAAATTGAAAAATCAAAAAATTGAGGAGGCGAGGAACTGAAAGATGGAAACTTTGGAAACGCGAGGACTGGGAAAATCAAATAATAGATTAATTGAGAAATCGGAAAACTGAAAATTCAGAAACGTCAAAATTTGAAAAATTAACAAAAATTTTGAAGAATTGCAAAATAGAAAAATCTAAAATTTAAATTTAAATTGAAAAATGGAGAAATCGAAACATCAAAAAATCAACAAGTCGGGAAATCGAAACTCGAAAATTTTAAAAATTGAAAAATTGGATAATTCAAAAATCAAAATATCGAAAAATCCTAAACCCGAAAATTAAAAATCGAAAAACCGACAAATCCAGAAATCGAAAAATCAAAAGATCGAGGATTCGAAAAGTTAAAAATGGAATTGATGAATCGAGATTTCAAAAAATCGAAAATTTAAAAATTCGGGAAATTGAAAAATTAAAATAATTATAAAAGAACTCAAAACTCGGGAAATTGAGAAATCGAAATATGTATAAAACAATCGAAAAACTGAAAATCTAACAAATAAAAATCAAAAACTCTGGAAGTCGAAAAATCGAAAAGTCGAAGAATCAAAATAAGTACTGGAAAATCCTAAAACTGAAAGAAAAATCCAAGTTGAGAAATTATAAAATTAGAAAATTGAGAAATCGAAAAAACAAAAAAGCACAAATTCGAAAAATCAAAGACTTGAAGAAATGAGAAATCGGAACTTCAAGAAGTCGAGAAATGGGCAAATCGAAAACAGATTCATTGAGAAATTGGAAAGCTGAAAATTTAGCAACGTCAAAATTTGAAAAAATTGAAAAATAGAAATACTGAAGAACGGAAAAATTAAAAAAATCGAGAAATCGAAAAATCTACAATCTAAAACATTGAACAATTAAAATATCGCAAAATTGAGAAATACAAACACAAAAAATCAAAAAATAAAAATTTGAAAATCTAAATTTATAAAATCGGAAAACTGAAAAATCCACAAAACGAGAAATCGAAATTCCAAGTTTAAAAAATTGAAAAATTAAAAAATCAGACAACTGAAACATCGTAAAATTGAAAAGCCCAAAAGTAAAAATCAAAAAACCGAGAAATCAAAAAACCGAGAAATCTAAAAATCGAAAAATTCAAAAATTGAGACATCGAGAAATTGAAGAATCAGAGGATAGAAAAAGAAATTGAAAAATTTATAAATTCCTGGGAATTGAACAATCAAATCACCGAAACGTCTGGATGGAAAAATTGAGGAGGTGAGGAACTGAAAGATCGAAACTTTGGCAACCCGAGAAATGAGAAAATCAAACAATAGATTAATTGAAAAATCTAAAAACTGAAAATTCAGAAACGTCAAAATTTGAAAAAATTAAAAAATATTGAAGAATTGCAAAATAGAAAAATCTAAAATTTAAATTTAAATTGAAAAATGGAGAAATCGAAACATCAAAAAATCAAAAAAATAAAAATTCGAACATCCAAAATTTAAAAATCGAAAAACTGAAAAATCAACAAGTCGAGAAATCAAAACTCGAAAATTAAAAAAATTGACATATTGGGTAATTCAAAAATCAATATATCGAAAAATCGTAAACCTGAAAAGTAAAAATCCAAAAACCGACAATTCGGAAAATCGAAACATCGAAAGTTCAAAAACTGAGACATTGAGAAATCGAAAAATCAAAAAATCAAAAAATCGAGGATTCGAAAAGTCGAAAAACAGAAAGCGAAATAGGCCAAAATGGAAAAATCGAAGTTAAAAATGGAACTGATGAATCGAGATTTCAAAAAATCGAAAATTTAAAAACTCGGAGAATTGAAAAATTAAAATTAGTATAAAAGAACTGAAAACTCGAGAAATTGAGAAATCGAAATATAAAACAGTCCAAAAATTGAAAACTCTCAGGGTTAAAAAACGAAAAACTGAAAATCTAACAAATAAAAATCGAAAACTTCAGAAGTCGAAAAATCGAAAAGTCGAAGAATCAAAATAAGTACTGGAAAATCCCAAAACCGAAAGAAATATCCAAAAATTGAGAAATTAGAAAATTAGAAAATTGAGAAATCGAAAAACCAAAAAACCAAATTCGAAAAATCAGACTTGAAGAAATGAAAAATCGGAAATTCAAGAAGTCGAGAAATGGGGAAATCGAAAATAGATTAATTGAGAAATTGGAAAGCTGAAAATTTAGCAACGTTAAAATTTGAAAAAATTGAAAAATACAAATACTGAAGAATTCAATTTAAAATATCGAATAATTAAAATATCGCAAAATTGAAAAATCGAGAAATCCAAATACCAAAAAGTCAAAAAATAAA